GGGGGGGGTGGGTGGAATATGGATGGTTAGATGTTGTTATTGTAGAACCGAGATGCGGGATCGGGAGAAACTCTATCCGTATCATATGTTAAACCGTGGCCAATTCGAATCGATGAAGAGAGACTTGCAGAGGGCAGAAAAAAGTATTACGCGGAAGTAGATTAGGCCTTCAGAGGATGCGTGGGATTGTTAGGGTTAGGGGGAGGGAGGGAGGGAGGGAGGAGGGAAGAGAGGCTCCTCTATCTCACAGCTCACCAGCACTCTCGTGTTCACAGCTCAACCGTTCTCGCTCCTCGGTTGGCCGTTGACGGCAACGAGGCCGATGCTTCGATCGATCTTCGAATCGTCGAATTCACAAGGAAAACTGCGAAACGAGCAAACGAAACGAGCGATCGCGTTTGTCCGCTGGGAACCGACATATAAAACGGGGAGAGAATAAGGGGGGAAGGGGCAGGGTAAGCGGAGAAACCAGAAGTGGATCGGAGAGAAACGTTAAAACGTTGAAGAAGAATGGAAAAAAATCAAAACGAAGGTGATGTTGGGTTAGTCGAGAGAGTATACGAGAGAAATTGTGATTGAACGAACGAAAGAGAGAGAGAGAGAGAGAGAGAGAGAGAGAGAGAGAAGAAAATGATAGATGGAGAAGACGAATGACGGCGAATGAATAGAGATATGATGACGACATTATGATTGCGACACAGTATCGTAACGTTATATATATATACATATATATATATGTATATATGTATGATATATATATATATAGTATTAATATAAATGACGATGAAACGATGAAGAGATGAGACGATGGTGACGGCGGTGGCAGTGGTGATAGTAAGAACCGGTGAATGGGTCAGTGTGGTGGACGCCCTCTGGGAGTCTGGGAGGCAGAGAGAAATGCTCGCCTTGGTGTGTGCGGACGTGCTGATTCAGGATCGCCTTCTGACGGAAGTGTTTTCCGCACTCCGGACATTGGTATGGCTTCTCACCCGAGTGGATGCGCAGATGCTGGTTGAGGATGGCACGCTGCCGGAACGTACGCTCGCAGTACACGCAAGCATACGGCTTCTCGTTCGCGTGTATGCGCAGGTGCTGCGTTAGATGCGATTGTTGCCTGAACCGCTTCCCGCACTCTGGACACCCGTATGGCCGACTGTCCGTATGGATCCGCTCGTGTTGAAGCAGCGTCGACTTTTGCTTAAAGTCTTTCCCGCACGTCAGACATTTGAACAAACGCAGATCGCTGTTCGCCCCCTTGCCGGACTTGCCGCTCTGTTGCACGATATCCGGCAACCCAGTCGCCATGTTCGGTGCCCCGGGACTTGCGTATTGGTGGGCGTCCAGGCTGGGTCCGCCGTCACCCTGACCGAGGGACGTCAGCATCACGCCCGGCTGCTTGAGATAGTGTAACGCGGAGAAACCGCCGGGAGTGAGCATGTGCGGGGGTACCGACGGCGACGGATGCGGCCTCGCATCCTTGAAATAGTGCTGTGGATACTGCTGCAGTTCTCCAGCACCGGGAAAGCAATCGCTCCGGTCCACCTCGTGCGGCGTTAATTGCTGTTGAGGCGAGTGATCTTGCTGTTGCGTCTGTTGTTGCTGTTGCTGTTGTTGTTGCTGCTGTTGCTGTTGCTGCTGCTGCTGCTGAACTTGCTGCTGTTGCTGCTGCTGCTGCTGCTGAACTTGCTGTTGCGTCTGTTGTTGTTGCTGTTGTTGCTGTTGCTGCTGCTGCTGTTGCTGTTGTTGCTGTTGAGAGGTGGCTTGATTCGATTGTATATCGTCGTCAGGTGGGGTTAAGGCTTGAGGCTCAGGCGGTGCCGAGGGATACGGTGAGGGCACGGGAGAGGCCAACGAAGGCGGGGGACCGCTTTCTCCCTCGACAGGGGGACCACAGGCCTGCTGTGGACTGCCGGACGAGGAGGAGCCCTGCTGTTGCTGTTGTTGCTGTTGCTGCGGGTACAGTCCCCCGTCCTGGAGAGATCCCGGCCCGGGGCCCCATTGCCCCTGGGGTCTCTCCATGTTGTCCTTGTATAATACGTAGGGCGCGCCAGTATCTGGAATCAGACAAGTCGAACGAACCTTTATCGATGCGTGCTCGGTGAAAAGTAACAAGCGTCCGTTTTACGTTTCGTCGTTGTGTCTCTCTAACGGGAGATCGCTGCGAAGGGGACCGCTAATTAAACGTTTCTCTTTCGTTTCGTTCCCTCTGTCTGATCGACATTGGCCGATCGTAAAGCAGACTCTAGGTATCACCTAAAACAGAGAGGTTAGCGAGCGATTTCTTCCGCTTTAATTCCGCCAGCTGGTAAAGCGAGAGAAATACACGCCTGACGTGTACGTGTACGCGAAACGTGTAATCCTATTAATTTCTCTTCAACGTTAACGACCCGGTATATTAGATCAGAAACGGAAGCGCAGGTACATTCTTAACACGCGTCGAGGCCGGTTACAAGCAACCAGCAACGTGTGGTATTCGATTCGTCACGCTCGTGAAATTTCAACCGGAGACGATCGCTGCATCGTGGAAGCACGCGGCACCAAGTGGAAACGCATCTTCTCCCTATGACTTTAATTAAGTATCGTTTGAACGTTTCGCGCGCGGTCAGGTCGATTTGTCCGTCCCAGGAAACTAGTGACTGCCGGCGTACTCGAGCGCCATCCGTCCTCCTTCATCGCGGGCCCTTTTAATCAATTCACGAGCTGTGGCGGCGCCGTTCAATTCGCGTTTCTTCGCCGGCCGCGTGTACGGTAAACAACTTTCAGCGAGAGCAAAGCGAAACATTGTGTATCGGAGATCGACGGTGTGTGCACACTTTCTAGCACGTCGAATCGACCACGTTCCTGGTCACGCATGGTCAGATACGTCCGGTTCGAGCTTCGCAAGTTCAACGGCTGTTATGCAGGTCGGATGCACGCGGGAATACACGTCCGCGCGAATGATTTATGAAGTGTTCCACTGTATCTGCGATGTCGAATCTCTCTGCCTTTCTGCGCCTGCAAAAAACTTCACCGTCTCGGTCGTATGTGTGTGCGTGTGTGCGTGTGTGTGTGCGTGCCCGTGTATCTTTCTCTCCGTCGTTTCTTCCCGCCATCCCGAGGTTCTTCCCTCCTTCGCCTCTTTGGGCGTCGTCAGTTTTCGAACATCCTGGGAAAAGGAGTGTATCGACGAGTTTGGAAAGATTTCGCAACGAGTACCGGGGAAGTGATGGAGGAATCGTTTGGAAGATGAAGAGAATCTGGATCTGCCGCTTGATTAGGAAAAAAACTATCGGTGAAAGATAGATAAACGAAAGAGTGCTGGTAGATCGGCCGTTGGTTGCCACTCTATATTGTCTGGGTGCTAGTATCTTCGAGACTAGCTCTTTGCAACTGGCTAGAAAGACAAGAAAATGTAAACTCTGCTTGCCATAATATGATATCGGTATACGTATACGTTCAATTCGTCGAAGAAACGAAATTAACCCTAATTTCACAAAATTTATTTGTCTACTCGATCTAATTTTATTCTTCGAAAAAATAAAAAAAACGAAAGAAATGAACGCGAACGACAGAAGTAACTCCCGATCAAAAGACCAAGTTTCTACCACCGCCTTCTCTGCGGGAGAAAAGGAAACAAAGTAGCGATCGCAGAGAGGCGCAAAGAGGAGCACTTCCTCCCCCTCCCCCCGCCCGGTGGAAAGAAAAGCGAGGCAGAGGTTATAATCGTGGCCCCGTAAATGGCATCGCGGCGGGCGACACGCGTCCGCTGCAATCACGGCTATCACGTACAGTCGCGCATTACGAGAGGAGGGAAACAACGGGTCCGCGGCGCGGCGCGGCGCGGCGCATCTCGCGATTATGGAATTCGCATTATGCAACGTTACACAAAGTGTGTGTCTGTTTTATCGGATTAATTACCTCGCTCTTTATTCCATTCTTTCGTTTATCCGCGCGGCCGTGCTAACGCTACCCGCGTTCCACCATACGCGGATACTATTCGCGTGCCTCTTTCAGCCCGTCTTTTGTTTTTGCGCCCGGGGATGACGCATCGACGGATTATCTTCGCTGCTTCGCCGGTCCGTTTATTAATATCGAGCCACGCTTCCTTGCGTACAACGTCTCGCTTCTTCTTTCTTTCTTTCTTTTTTATTCTCCCTCTCTCGCCATTTACATTTGTCCCTTTCTCTCCTCTTTCTCCCTTTCCCGTTTGATATTCCTCCCCTCCCTCTCCTCGCCACAGGGTTTTTTCGTCGTTCTTCTCCTCGTGTCTCGCGGTCCCACGCGCGATCGAAGCGAAAAACTGTATCACGTATCGTGCCGTACAGCGGCAGTAGCTTTCGTCGCTCGCGTTCGCCGCACGATACGTTTCCACGGCGATGACAAGTGTTATTGAACCTCGTCGTGGCGGAAAGAGATACGATGTCGCACCGAGAGACAGACCACGAGTGCTAATTGTTGCAATAACACCCCTGCCGGAATTACGGAATTCAAGGATTCGCCCACCTACTTGCGATTTCCTTTTTTTGGCAATTCGGATTTTGGGAATGATCGACGCGAGGCTCGACATCGGAGAGTCGTTTCGAACGAAAAGCGATGGAATCTGACATCGAGGATTCTTTGAAAAGACTCTTCACGAGCTTATCTGCATTTCCCGAAAATCGCGAAAGTATCGAGTGTTGATGAAATCTCTGGATGACCAGAGATAACGGGAGCTACACTTTACGAACGTCCGAGGGTATCATCGTCGATCCATGACGACCATTAACGTCGAATCGCGGCCGATTCTACGGATCCCGCGATTAATCCAAATCGTACGTGCAACCATCGTTTCTCTGTCTCTCGGTCTCTCTATCTGGAAGCGTCCGCCTTTTTTCCCTGTCCCTCGGGCGCAAATGAAACGAACGAGTTCGCCGCTGTTCATCACGCTCGATTGTTATATATGTC